GGCACCAAACTGAATTGAAAAAAGAAAAAAGCTATTTTATAATTGAGATACTATTATAGTTTTGAATTAGTATTTTTATTTATTTATTTTTTAGTTTTCATTGGAATTTTAGTTAATGTTTTGGTAATTTTGTAGTTTTGTTATATTTTTTTATTTTATTTTTTAAATATGTCTATATAGTTACAATAATATAAATAATATATTTATTTTAATAATAATATAATATATTTTTTTACATTTTTATTTTAGTACATCAAATTTAGATAAAAAATATGAAATGTTGAATACATTTACTTTCCAGTTTTTTTTAAAGTTAATATATAGGCTATACATACATACAATTTATATATACAATATATTATATATAGGTCTATTAGTTAAATATCAATTCATAATAAATAAATAACCAATATGGTGCTATTAATAAATTCATAAATAAATAACCAATATCGTGCCATTACAATTGTGCATTTCATTAAAAATACAGACACTGTGACATAGAAAGGGATGCACAACCACTAAACTGGAAAAAAAGGAATTAAAAAGTGTCAATAAAAGCACCTCTGGGCAAGAAGAGGCAGGAAACATTTCAAAACAATTCAATTCAATATGACAAAAAAGAAAGAAGTTTTATTTATTTGAATGACTAAAAAAAAGACACCTACAAGTGATGTTTCAAGAGCTTTTCTGTGCAATAGCAATGCTGAAAAGATTAGATTTTGCTCAAAGAAGCTGACCTGCATACACCAACTATTAAGCAAACAGTGTGGAGAGAGCAACTGATGAGTAGCTGCTATTGATTGCGCACTTTAACCCCAGTTACTGCACCAAAAACCTGCCACACATTCACCAATTCATGCAGGAAACCTGAACAGGTGATCTGCTACTGCAAAACACTCTTCACCCTTTAATAACCTATTACTTAAACCTCAAATTAAGAATCAAACCACTGCTTTGTGCTGTGTTTCCAAAAAACAAATAAAGAGTGTGTCTCCTGGTCTATCATAATGCTACCTGCATCACCTGCAAGGGTGAAGCATCAAAGAACTCAAGAACAGAGCGCAGGCATACTGTGAAATTGCATTTACAGTAAGAATAGCAAATCTTGTTCAATAACACTTAGGACAGAAGACCTACTCAAGATCAAAAGAAGTCAAAGCACTCAGCCGTAATGGATATTGAGCAAATGTTGGTTCTGCTGTGAGAACACCCACATCTATTGAATCTCAAGTGTGTGCTCTTCTGGCAAGACGTGGTGCGTGCTCTATTGAGAGGATTCGCTCGAGGACCTTGATCCAAAGAGAACAGAATTTTACAGCTTTTTCAGGAACAAAAGAAGATTTACAAGGCAAGAAGTAGCACAACTCTATTTTCTGTCGAATTAAGCAGACAGACTTGGCAAGCGTTTTTACATTTCAAACTTCTCACATTGCTTTAAGCAAATCACAGATACAAGCTATAATGCATCTCATTGATGCGCTGCGAATTAGATCATCAAACTGTAGACCTGCTTCCTCTTGATTACAGTATTAAAGTATTATTAGACGTGAGATGATATTCAATTCTATGTCTCAGCTGAGTCTGACGCCCATGATGATGTAAGTCTTGTATTCATGTTCGTCTGGAATTCATGAATGGATGTGAAGTAACTTAATACTAAATGAAGACATTGTCCATACTGTCTACTAAGGCAAAAAAAAGGCTCTGACCAACACCTCCAATTTACAGTGAATGCAAAATATACTTTTTAACTATATGATGCTACAAATCTGTTTACTTGGCTATTAAATCACTGTGTAGAACACAAATAAACTACAATATGGATCTCTGTTTACATACCAAAGACTAGTACTTTAACCATGATCATGATTTCTACTCCTCTCGAGTCATTAAGCATAAAAGTCTGTGATATTTTCCCACTGGTTATTGATCCTGAAAACATTTAATTTTGACATTTGCGTTGTCTTTCACTGGTAACAAGCCTCCACTAGCTTTCATGCTTGAAGTTGCCATGTGTTCAGGACTTAAATCCCCCAATCAGCGCTTTTCTTCTAAATGGATACATTTTCTGCCCAGTGTTTTACATTTTCCCAAACTGGCAACCATGCACTGATACTGTCAAAAACCACTGAAACTCAGTTTTATTTAGGGGGAAAAAAAAACCTTTCTGTACTTCATGTTTTAATATCCGAGACACTCCAGTTATTACTATTGCATTTTTTGCAGTGACCAATGTAAATGAAACATTGAAGAGAAATCACACTTTACAACTGACACATATCAAATGTAAGCACTATAAACAAAATACTGTTGTCTACCGAAAGTTTCACCAATGAGAATTTCAAACACTTACATGACTTTTCCATTACCTTTCCAATCATTTATGATTACTAATCATATATATACTGTTTAAAAGTTTCATCAGAAAGGTTTTTTTTTTATATATTTTTATTTGGCAAAGATGCATTAAATTGATCAATAGTGAAGAATAGCCACAAAACACAGCAGGCAACATTTGAAGTGGATCAAAACCTTTCATCAAAGTTGTCCTAAGACAAGAATGCATTTTGGTTTTAGGTTTTAGGACAACTTTGATGAAAGGTTTTGATCCACTTCAAATGTTGACTAGTATACTTATATTTCAAATAAATGTTATTTCTGTGAACTTCCTATTGATCAAAGAACACTGAAAAAAAACATATCACGGTTTCCACAAAAATATAATACTGATAATAATAATAAATGTTTCTTGAGCAGCAAATCAGCATATTAGAATGATTTCTGAAGGATCATGATTGGAGTAATGAAAATTCAGCTTTGCCATCAGAGGAATAAATGACATTTTCAATATTTTCAATATTTTTTCACAATATTAGTTTTTTTTTCTCCATTTTTACTGCATTTTGATCAAATAAATGCAGCCCTAATGAGCATCAGAGACATCTTACTTAAACATTAAAAAGAAAATCTTGCCGACCCCACATTTTGAAAAATACATATACCTTTTTCAAGGCCTGGGAAAAAAACTAAACGTTTTAACATTGTCCAAGACTGTGGAAACCCTGGACCACATCAAGGTGACCCTTTATTCCGTCATTCAGTATTGAACATATTTCTGGAGTGACGTATGGCTCAAGTCTGAATAGACCATTTACGACATTCGTCATTTAAATTTCACTCCATTACCTTTAAATCTCCTGTGTGTGTTGCATATAAAGCCTATAATGCAAGGTGAATCAACAAAATGCTGACAACTTACTTTATTGGACCATTTGTAAGCCTGGAGCAGCTGGCTGTAGAGAGGTGTTTTGTCCTGAACGGGGTCTAAACTGAGCAGTCCACTGTTGTGTAAGGGGTGACTCTCTGACGGCCTGCCAACCAAAGTACTGAGACGCTCCAATTCACTGCAGAAACAAGAAACAAAAGTCAGGCTGGTATGGTTGATTTTTTTTTTTACCACACATAATGAAACCAATGTCACATATGATTACATCTTTTTAATTATGGTTCTCAAAGCCAAGCTAAAATCAAGATATTTTGATTTACTGAGCCACAATTAAAAAGATGTCAGTCATTATTTAGAAAAACATACCATAATACATTAAAATCAAAATAAATTAATGTGGGAATTCATAATCTGTCATAATCGCTTTTCATGCCGACAGCACTGGGTAGTACCATGTTACCATGGTTTACTACAATAGGCTAACACTTGAATTTTGGCAGTGACTATGTTTACCTTTATAACATTTCACAGGGTTATTGAATGCTTAGACAATTAACTCACTTTAAGTCGCGATTGACTGACTGTAAATTATCTTGGAATTCAGTTATAAAGGCTTTCTCCCGCCCTTCAAGGGTCTCCTTATTTTTCATCCCATCTTTAAGAGAATCGAACACCCTAGTGACACTCGAACGAAGAGCCTGGATGGCATTAATCGCTTGAGAAAACGCTTCTAAATTCACTCCAACATTCATAACGTCCGCCATGGCTGCTGCGTCCGCGAACACTGGCGCACGAGTGACGTCACTGACGCTGAAGGGAGGATGGGATTTGTAGTTTCTAACAGGGCGCGATCGTTCACTTTTGTAATTGTCGTTTATTGGTGCCAATAGTCTAACACAAGCAAAATGATTGATAGAAGCATGTTTTATTCTTTAATAAAATCTTAATTATAAGAAAATGACTCAAGTCAAAGCTAAAAGTTTTGCAAATAAAGTTGCAGTTTTGGAAAGTGGCAGTAGCCTATCTAATTTCTGTTTTAAACTAATATCTCGCTTGTAAGCAAAAAAAAAAAAAAAAATCACTATTTCTGTCATTGTTTCAATTTACACGTCACGGAAAGTAGGCTATGGCTGTGCATGGCATCGTGTTTGGGCAGCTACCATGATGAACAGCGGCATTAGACGACACAAACAGCATTATTTGAAATCTAGAGACGTTTGAGTAGGCTAAAACTTTCATTTAGCCTATGTTAAATGTGCAACCATGTTACCTGCAATGCGGTTGTCGTGGTTTCAAACTATTTAGGCTATTTATTTGTGTTTCTTATTTATTGCTCACCTCAAAATTGCACACCTCATAAATTGAATAGCTAAAAATATATATAAAATAGGCTAAAACAGCTCATATAAAATTTTGTTTGACCTCCTGACATGCTGATGATCAGCATTTTCTGAGAATGAAACATATTTTTGCATTTATTAAAAAATAAAATAAAAAAAGCATGTTTGTTTAGCTAATTAATTTATTCGGAGTGCTTCCCATTCACCAGATTCTCCGTCAAAATGCTAGTTTTATTGTAGTGTATGAAGCTTTATATTATGTGTTATTTATTCATTTATTTATTTATACAAGTTACCACAGTTTTACTGCAGTAGGCTAATACCTCTAACATGTTGACCGAAACTACGGTATATTCTGTAAGGGTTGGATTTGTGAGTACGCTGTGAGAGGAGACTGGAAATCCTCAGCCTCTGATCTGTCTCTTTAAGCGAGGCGGACTGCCTCATCTGCTGCTGGGACGGTTGAGCTCTTCAAGCCCGTAGATAAACTTCTGCTCCATACTAGTTAGACTAGACAAGTCAGGCAGTTTGCAGTGGCCAAAAGTATTTTCATCGAGGTCTGCAAAAGACAAATGAAAGTCAGATATTGCGATGCGCAAATAGATAGGAACAGTAGAGTGAATGGAGCAGGAGCGCGGATGGAATAAGACAGGATGGGAATGGGAGGTGTAGTAGGTTACTCTGAAGTCTGTCCTTGAGCGCACAGGACAGAGGCATCAATGAAGGCAGGGGCAGGAACAGAAACTTTAAATGCACGTTTTTCAGGCAATACAGGATTCGCTTCGGAGCAGTCTGGATGAAGGGCATCTATCTAGAATGCTTACCAACAAACTACGTGGCAGCCGAAGAAAGCACGAAGGAGAAAGCGTTTGCTGTGATCTACGGAGAGGAGTTACGTGTGCATGTGTTTCTCATCTATCTCAAGTGATATGGCAGGGAACTGACTGAGAGAGAGAGAGAGAGAGTTTATACAGAAGAAATTCATCTGGAAACAGTAAAAGGTGCTGATCTCTGGAACCAAGGTAAGGTTACTCAAGTGTGTTACTTATTTAGTCTAAGTATTTTGGTCATTGAATATACTATACGCTCAGAACATGGGCAGCATTTCAGAAGATGCTCTTTGATGAATTCACGTAACTTTAGCTTATGAGAAACTATCTATTAAAATCCCCGGATGTTTTGGGAAAAGTGCTTTTAACTAAACTTGTTTGCTCAGTTTTCTAACAATTTATTTGCTCATCTCTATAGCTATTAATTTGCATTTCTAACCGCCGTTTTATTTTTAGATAAACACAAAAAATTGTGTAGCCTAATATTTGCGCGCATTTCATGTTACGTCATAACAGAATTGATTTATTCGCATTCTTTTGGAGCGTGTCCCTTTCGGATGACCTACTTAAGCGTATACATTTTTAAAAAAAGATTTCCATTGCGAAGTCGAAAAGTAAAGTTTATAATCTACTGCGTAAGGAAGATGTGCACTTGGAGAAAGTGGCAGGTTCTCAAAGCACTGCATTAAAACTTCGCTACATTATAACAGAAACAATACACTTGGGGAGGAAAATTTGACAGACTTTTGTCGTAAAATACAGTGACGGTGTTTTAATCATAATGGTGTCTGTTTACTTTACAGTTCCTAACTGTATACATAATATAATGTTAATTGACCAACCTAGTAGGGCTTTCTTTGTTTCTATAAAATGTGCTGATAAAAACACAGCTGTACAATATAATACCACATGGCGACTTTAAAAGTAATCATAACTTAGGCTATATCTCAAGCAACTGTGACAAGTGAAAACTTGTGAAAACATGGCACATTATTACTCACACAACGAACATCCTCAGAGCAGCACATGATATAAAAAAAATGCAATAAACCGTAAATAACATAACATTTCATTTAAAACATAAGGCATTCCATACTTTTTTATAATAAAAGCCATCATTTTGACAAAATATTATACATAATGCCTTGCTAAATGTACATTTTCTTCATGAACTATAATGCAATTGCATGCATTGTCTTTTAAAATATATTTTACTGTGTGGAATACAGTATATGTTGCTTATTTCCATTTTTTCCCCCCTATTTCCTAGGCAACCCATCAGAAATGAAACAGCTGTTCTCATCACACGTGAATCTTAGACTGGACTCTGACACCAGGCATCTTCTGATTGTGCAAGATCCACTGAATGCACCTCATGTCTCTGAACTGAAGTGACATTCATCCCTGGACTTGAAGTCAGTTGCCACGTATAGAAATTGAACATTGAATTTTGAAGATGTCGCAACAGATCTAAAAATTACACCTCAGTGGGAACACATTTTACATTAACTCACACACAGTTTTCCACTGAGGACCAGACTTTGCCCTTTTGGCACCATGATGGATATTAGAAATTTCACAATCTAAATAATTTCCATGCTGATACACCTAATAGCTGTGGCGCCCCTTGCCTTTCTCTCATGCCCATGGACCCATCCAGTGCCATGCTCTCACAGGCGCTCCTGCTCTTACAGTGCATTATTCTGACTCTCGGCAAGTACGATATCTGTAAGTCGCTGGTCAGCACAGACGATGGACCAACATGGGAATTTTACGCTTGCCAGCCCAAACCCATGTCCATGAAGGAGTACATGCAGATTAGAGTGGAGCCTCCCGATATCACATGTGGGAATCCACCGGAGAGGTTCTGCACTCTGGTGAGTTTGGACTGGATCGCTTTTGGCTCTGCTGCTTTGTCAGTTACGTCTGTTCAACTGGAACAGCTTGCGTTTCCATGCGAATATACTTTGCAATCATGTTTATTTATGATATTGAAAGTTTGATGGATTTTCGGTGGATCTTCAGAAGCTTAATAGCAAATTCATCACATATATGTGCCGTTAACACAGTGTGATCATTAGTATTATTATTATTGTGAATTTCAGGATGTGTATCAAAATCTTTTAAAGGGACAGAAACAAACCCAAAAATGACAATTTAATTTATTCACCCTCATAAACCTCAAACCTGTATGACTTTCTTTCTTCTGTGGAACACAAAAGAAGATATTTGGAAGAATGTCGGTAACCAAACAGTTTTGGTTCCCATTCACTTCTTTTGGATGGCTAAAAAATGTATATCTCTCTGACTTTCTTTTTTCTGTTGAACACAGTTTTTAAAAATGTTGGTAACCAAACAGTTTCGGTTCCCATTCACTTCCATTATACTTTTTGACTGTATAAAGGAAGCGAATGGGAACCGAAACTATTTGGTTACCAACATTCTTCAAACTATCTTCAAACTGTTTTCCACAGAAGAAACATTCATACAGGTTTGAACGACATTAAGATAATTATGATGACAAAATGTCATATTTGGGCGTACTGTCCCTTTAAAAAGGCAAATAATCAGATAAAAATAGTTAGACTGTGTTTATTTTTGGAATGAGAGGATAAAAGAAAGCAAAGAGATCTAATATTACAGTAAGATCTGACACAAGAATGCTAAAAAGTCTCCAAGTAACCCTGATATGTCTAAACACAGATTATACAGTAATCTGCAACATGTGGCCATTAACAATGTGTTTGCTCAGAGAGTCAACAAAGCCCGAGTCGATGTGTAAATTTGCCCACACAGCTGTTATTCAGTGTAGTTTCCCTCCGCGCACGAGACAGCAGCCACGGCAGGATTATCTGTGTAAATCAACTCAGGTTTAGCACCGAGCGTGAGGGCGCAAACAATCTGCGTCTTTCCAGGGCACATCTGGTGACCGATCGACACCACATTCGGGATACTCTGCGACATACTTGGGAAGAGCGATTAGGACAATCACAAGCATGAAAATATTATCCATTCTATACCATTGGTGTTTGGAGGGGTGTATTTTAGACCCTCTGTCTGTCAGGTTGGTGAGGTATGAGTGTAGCCAAAGTTAATCTCCATCAGAGATGCTTTGGGAATTTAGCCAGAAGCTTGATTGCACAATAATCGGATAGAGGATTTGTCCAGCTGGACTGACACTACGCATGAGGCCCGGAGACGGAGCGCTGCCTCTGACGGGGTGCTAATTCACACATTTAGACTGTGTGGATAAAAGACAGGATGCCGTGGAGGGGGGCGGACCAGACATTGCTCATTCAATGACATCATTCTCTCAGCATATACCGAGCGGCTCACACAGTGACAACGGGTGGGTAGCTGGACTGTGAAGAGAATCTGAATTCAGTCACCAAAATCGTTTTTCAAGAGGCAAATGTACTACAAAGGCATAGTGATTCAAGAGTGATGGATTTAGTTGTCAAGAGTAAAAAGTAGGAGTTCATGGTTTTCAAATTCAGTGTGAAAGAAAGGATACAGTTCTTTGTAGCTTGCAGTTCTTTTGCTGTAACCTGTAGGAAGGCTGTAAAAATGTCACAGACATATAACCGATATGGGTCGCCCTGTTACCGGGGTCTTTTCAGCTTGAGATATACCTGTCCCCCGATCTTTCAGATTGGGTGTAACTTAAGGCCATTGCTGGGGGTTTCTATACAATTTAGGGCTGAAATCTGAACAGATTTTAAACACTACACTGTAAAAAATGATTGTGATTTTAACAGTAAAAGACTGACTGTAAAATACAGTAAAAACCTGTTAACTGGTTAACAGTAAGTCTCCATACTATATTCAGTGAATAAATGTGATTACATTTAATGTAATTTTACAGTAAAATACAGTTAAAAATACGTTTTTTGGAAGTGAAAAAGTCATTGTATAATTTACAGTGACAAACCGTAAATTGACACTCACAGAATTCCCTGCATGACACTTCATATTTGATGGGTTTTTTGTTGTTGTTGTTGAAATAACAAATGTTTCTTAGTTTTTTCTTACCAGTTGTGTACATTAGGGTTTATCTAATGTTGTTAATTCAATGTTTATTGCATTATTTCAGTATCATGTGTGTCACCATGATGGTGTTTAGTGTTTGTATGAAAGAGACTGTGCACATTCTATATGTAAGTATTGCCCTCCTCAGCTCGTAGAAAAGCTGTTTGTGATGAGCTTTGGTTCATCATGTGACTTTCTCATCACCACCAGTTTTTGGTGGTTATCAGTGCATTACAATGGTTCAAAACAGATATTAGTACTTCATTGTGTTGGTTTATCAACATTACATCAGTTAATTAAATACAGTATTTTATTGTGAATTTAAGTTAAGTCTGTAAAACCTAAAATGTTGCTACCTTATTTTTTATGGTGAAGTTCTGACAACCACAGCTGCTGGTATTTTACCGTAAATGTCACCAATTTTTTTTTTTACAGTGTAGGCATCATATAAACCCACTTTGTAAATAGTTACAGAGGAAAAACTAGGTATCATTCACTAAACGAATAACGATCACACACTACCAGACTTTCAAGTCTTTGAGATGAAAACAATATAGGCATCTTTACACAGCTAAGCTAAGGCTGCTCTGTGCCAGCTCAAAATTCAGTGGAAAGATACAATGCCACATTAAAGCCAGACTTAGGGTGTATTCACACCTGTCTTGTTTGGTTCGATTGAATCGAACTCAAGTTCATTTCCCCCCTTGGTGTGGATCTTTTGGGCAGGTGTGAATACAGCAATCGCACTCGGGTGCGAACCAAACAACCGTACCGAGACCCAGCTGAAGAGGTGGTCTCGGTCCGCTTCCAAACGAACTCTGGTACGGTTGAATGGATGAACCAATGAATGGATGACCTTA